AAGGGCAAATGCGATTAAATATGTAGGGGAAAAACGAGGAGAAATAATTAATTCGGGACTACGAAACGTTGTAATAAATGTTTAAACGTTCAGGAAATAGTTGCGATCAAAAGGGGAGGAAGATGGAATGATGGGAGGAACTGACACACACACACACACACACACACACACACACACACACACACACACACACACAGGCGACGGTAATGGCTTAGCAGAGAAAGGAGAGTTAGGAATCCCTTCTCAAAGATCAAAACACACACATCCCTGGAAACACAAACCGAAACTGTCTCTATTTTCCGCTTGTTACAACTTGTAATAAAGTTGTTACATCTTGGCTTAACGTGTTTATGACGTGTTAGAACGTTGTTACAACTTGCTATATTGGTTGTTATAACTGGTTAGGAGGTGTTAAAACTTGTTCGAACGTTGTACCAACGTCGTAGTTTCGGTGTGTGTTTGGTGGGATATAAATCTATACTTTAAGCGAGAATAACTATTTGTCCACGGTTGGAGACCAGATGTTTGGGGCTAGTCTCACTCAAATTTTGCAGGGGGAATGGTCAGGGATATGGAACAGACATAGGCTGGTCCGGTTAGGCCGGTTAAGTGGTTTATTAAATATAGCCTGTAACCCCCCCAAAAAAAAAACTCCCCCAGGTGTAATTTTCATGAAGTTGTAAATGAAATTAGGGATGTGCTATCCATAGTGTTTATGTTACTCTCGCCGTTTACCCGCTCATATTTATGATTTTCTGTATGTAAATGGAAATGTGTATTTGTCCTAGGCTGGAGGGGAAGGGGGATTTCCGTGAGTCCGAGAGAGAAGGCATACAATGGAAGGGAAGTGCGGGAGAAATATGGGAGAGGGGAAGGAAGAGGGAAAGTAAGGAGGGGGAGGACAGGTGATAAGTAGTTGCGTAATTGCTTGAGAAATCCTTGCCCTGGTCTGTAACTTGCACACTGTGTTTACTGAGAATAATGCAGTTATAATATTTGGAACGGAACTATGGGAAGATGCACAGATATGTAACAAAAGCTTGAGGATCGACAGAGGGCTACACGTAATGAAGAAAACCAACACACATGTACCACACCACACTGTACCACACCACACTGTACCACGCCACACTGTACCACACAACACTGTACCACACAACACTGTACCACACCACACTGTACCACGCCACACTGTACCACACCACACTGTACCACGCCACACTGTACCACACCACACTGTACCACACCACACTGTACCACACCACACTGTACCACGCCACACTGTACCACACCACACTGTACCACACCACACTGTACCACACCACACTGTACCACACCACACTGTACCACACCACACTGTACCACGCCACACTGTACCACGCCACACTGTACCACACCACACTGTACCACACCACACTGTACCACACCACACTGTACCACACCACACTGTACCACACCACACTGTACCACACCACACTGTACCACGCCACACTGTACCACACCACACTGTACCACACCACACTGTACCACACCACACTGTACCACACCACACTGTACCACACCACACTGTACCACACCACACTGTACCACACCACACTGTACCACACCACACTGTACTACACCACACTGTACCACACAACACTGTACCACACCACACTGTACCACACCTCACTGTACCACACCACACTGTACCACACCACACTGTACCACACCACACTGTACCACACCACACTGTACCACGCCACACTGTACCACACCACACTGTACCACACCACACTGTACCACACCACACTGTACCACACCACACTGTACCACACCACACTGTACCACGCCACACTGTACCACACCACACTGTACCACACCACACTGTACCACACCACACTGTACCACACCACACTGTACCACACCACACTGTACCACACCACACCGTACCACACCACACTGTACCACACCACACTGTACCACGCCACACTGTACCACGCCACACTGTACCACGCCACACTGTACCACACCACACCACACTGTACCACACCACACCACACTGTACCACACCACACTGTACCACGCCACACTGTACCACACCACACTGTACCACGCCACACTGTACCACACCACACCACACTGTACCACGCCACACTGTACCACACCACACTGTACCACACCACACTGTACCACACCACACTGTACCACACCACACTGTACCACACCACACTGTACCACGCCACACTGTACCACGCCACACTGTACCACACCACACTGTACCACACCACACTGTACCACACCACACTGTACCACACCACACTGTACCACACCACACTGTACCACACCACACTGTACCACGCCACACTGTACCACACCACACTGTACCACACCACACTGTACCACACCACACTGTACCACACCACACTGTACCACACCACACTGTACCACACCACACTGTACCACACCACACTGTACCACACCACACTGTACTACACCACACTGTACCACACCACACTGTACCACACCACACTGTACCACACCTCACTGTACCACACCACACTGTACCACACCACACTGTACCACACCACACTGTACCACACCACACTGTACCACGCCACACTGTACCACACCACACTGTACCACACCACACTGTACCACACCACACTGTACCACACCACACTGTACCACGCCACACTGTACCACACCACACTGTACCACACCACACTGTACCACACCACACTGTACCACACCACACTGTACCACACCACACTGTACCACACCACACCGTACCACACCACACTGTACCACACCACACTGTACCACCCCACACTGTACCACGCCACACTGTACCACGCCACACTGTACCACACCACACCACACTGTACCACACCACACCACACTGTACCACACCACACTGTACCACGCCACACTGTACCACACCACACTGTACCACGCCACACTGTACCACACCACACCACACTGTACCACGCCACACTGTACCACACCACACCACACTGTACCACGCCACACTGTACCACACCACACCACACTGTACCACGCCACACTGTACCACACCACACCACACTGTACCACACCACACTGTACCACACCACACTTTACCACACCACACTGTACCACACCACACTTTACCACACCACACTGTACCACGCCACACTTTACCACACCACACTGTACCACGCCACACTGTACCACACCACACCACACTGTACCACACCACACTGTACCACACCACACTGTACCACACCACACTTTACCACACCACACTGTACCACGCCACACTTTACCACACCACACTGTACCACGCCACACTGTACCACACCACACCACACTGTACCACACCACGCCACACTGTACCACACCACACTGTACCACGCCACACTGTACCACACCACACTGTACCACACCACGCCACACTGTACCACACCACACTGTACCACGCCACACCACACTGGAGCAGACAAGGAAGACGAGTGAGAGTAACACAGCAGACACCTAACAAAAAAAGACAGGCATTAATCAGTAATTCATAAGTTGTCAAAAAAATGGAAAGTGTAAAGATAAAGATATTTAAGCTTTACACTATTTTAAGCGTAAAAAAATGTGTATATTGAACTGCTATTGTTTGGAAAAAGCCTGATGATCGACCATGCAAGCCCATCAGGTAAGTACATTCATGTGTGACTGAAGACAATCAGGTGTACAGACCCCTATACTGACTTACAGACACTCAGAATCACCGACGCTTAAACTTAACAGACAGAATTCTTTAAACATTAAAAAATCATTAAACACATTGCTCGAAATATTTACTCATAGCATAACGTATTTTTCGTCCAAATTTCCTTGAAGAATCCACAACTTTCCCTCAAGACATTGACCAAAATGCTCGTTAAGGCTTTCAACAGTATTACCAATAACACAACGTAGCCTCAGGTAATTCGAGCCTCAGGCTCGCCCAAGCCGCAGCCAAACCCCAAAATAACTATGCAATTATTTTAACGTAATGTGTATTAGAAAGAAGGAATTTTCTCATATATAAATTAATATTATATTGGATTTTTTCCGTATTGTTATGTCTAGGTTTGATTTGGTTTGGTGTTTAGGTTCTATTGTCAGGTACTTGTATTTGTCTAAATGTTTGAGTCACCCATGTGACCGAAGGGCTATATATGCTCAAGTCGGGTGCTTCACAATATAAATTTATCATAAGACAATTTTTTAAGTGAAAAACTCTTAAATCTCCATTTGTTCGAATCGAGTAAATACTAATCTCATGTACAGCAAATACAAATAATTGCCAACCTAACCTACCGTAACCTAACCTATCCTAAACCTAACCTAATCCATTCTAATCCTAGACATAACCTAGGCCTAATATAATCCAACCAAACCTATCCTAATCCTAATAATACACAAAATCATACTCTATATCATGATAATTTGTAATTAGTTTCCGAGAAATAACATTTTTACTAGCACAATACGTTAACATTAACGAATGTTCTTTGTGATGGAGGCCGCAGCTTCGACACGGATAGCCTGAGGATAGAGTGAATAGTTACCAAACAGAATCCCAAAACCTAATAGCCTAACCTAACCTAACTTACCGTTGGCCAAACACTGCACCAAATTATCCATTACATCAGTTACATTTAGAGAAAATATAACGTGATAAGTAACACTAAAAAAAAATCATTATACGACGAATAAATGAATAAAAGTACTTGAATAAATCAATAAAAACTAGAAATATTTATATTAAAAAAATTAACAAACGAATAAAGCAAACTCATATGAATAACTGTAATATAAATAATCAAATCTAGGCATATATAGACACCCCCAAACAAGTCAATTTAATAGAATAAACACACACCAACATAACCATTTTGAAAACAAATGGAATTATATAGCCAACAAAGACCAAGACCAGGTCTACAAATATATAAAAAAAACAAGTAAGGGAATTTGATTGTTTTTTTTGTCTTTCCCACCAGCTGCCTCGGCCCACACCCGCAGCACCACCTATAACAACTCTACAAGGGACAGGAGAGTCGTCGGGGTCATACTACAGGTGAGGCAGAGGCCAGCTGAGTTGTAGAGACGATTGGGCACGCTGAGTTACAGAGACAATGGACCAAGCTGAGGTATAGAGACGAGGGGACAAGCTGAGTTATAGAGACAATGAACAATTATAGAGACACAGCTTATCTTAGCCAGGGAGATGGAGCAGCTCAAGGCTTTGTCAGTGTGAGAGACAGCTACGGGAGAGGGAACGATGGAGAATGGAAAAAAAAAGATGGTTACTCCATCTAGATGTGCTGAGAAAGTGAGATGTAGTTCAAGAGACTTAATGGCTGTGATCGCATTTGTATCACTATTGATGATAATATTAACCATATGGACAAGAATCAGACAGATAGGGGGGGACGGGGAGCAACCAGGAGAAATCGCAGACATTAAGACTTAGAGCGAGAGAGAGAAAATACAAAGTGAGAATAAGACACGTAGGAAGACATAGAATAAGAGAGATAACAAGAAAGACACACACACACAAAATGACAACTACTCCAAGATGTAAGTGAAGTAACTAGAACAAAACCATCAAGGTGTAGAACAAATGCCATAGAGCTTACAGGTAGAGCACCACACAGGTGTTCCGGGAGCCCCTCTATCATCTGTGCTGTAGAGCACCACACAGGTGTTCCGGGAGCCCCTCTATCATCTGTGCTGTAGAGCACCACACAGGTGATCCGGGAGCCCCTCTATCATTTGTGCTCTAGAGAACCACACAGGTGATCCGGGAGCCCCTCTATCATCTGTGCTCTAGAGCACCACACAGGTGATCCGGGAGCCCCTCTATCATCTGTGCTCTAGAGCACCACACAAGTATTTCGGGAGCACCGGTGACATCCTAAGAGCTATATAACTGTATGACTGATATCACACGTGCGATTCCTGCACACTCTTTTGTGTTTTCTTTTGAGAGCAAGAAAGATATTTTGTAGACGCATCTCTTTCTCTCTCTCTCTCTCTCTCTCTCTCTCTCTCTCTCTCTCTCTCTCTCTCTCTCTCTCTCTCTCTCTCTCTCTCTCTCTCTCTCTCTCTCTCTCTCTCTCTTACCTTTTTCTTTATATTTCATTATATATGGACTTTTATATTCATAAATTTTAATAACATTCTTTTTAAGTTTTTTCGATACTAATTTTTCATTCATTCCGTAACTTTATAAGTTTTTTTGTTTTTCATATATATATATATATATATATATATATATATATATATATATATATATATATATATATATATATATATATATATATATATATATATATATATATATATATATATATATATATATGTATATATATATATATATACATTTTCAAAGATATATATATATATATATATATATATATATATATATATATATATATATATATATATATATATATATATATATATATATATATATATATATATATATCTTTGAAAATGTAATAAGTTTTACGAAACGCGCTCAAGTGTCGCGTCAGACTAGAAATAAAAATGAATTTTGGAGAATTGATTTTTGAATTACCACCAGCAGTGAAAAGAAATGTACGAAAGATTGAGAAAATTCGTGTTAGAATTATTAATCTTACTTTTTCGGTCATATTTAATAATATATATATATATATATATATATATATATATATATATATATATATATATATATATATATATATATATCTTAAACTTTGTTAGGAGTCATGGAATAAAACCTTGGTTATATCTTCTCTTGCAATAATTCTGCTTTCTACACACACACACACACATCTACACACTCCTGAGCCCAATAGGCTCAGTAATCTGTACACCAGTTGATTGACAGTTGAGAGGCGGGACCAAAGAGCCTGAGCTCAACCCCCGTAAGCACAAATAAGTGAGTACACACACTCATACACACACAGGCCGGTTCATTGGTGTTTAAAAAATTAAATTGTTTAGCTAACCTAACCAGAAACGTGCCAACCCGAGCAACCCATCTATCCCATCAAGTCCGATGCGTAGAAAACGCCTGTATTCAGGCTCTTTAGTTTACACAAATACGTCACATTTTTTACGGATTTATCAATTCCGTAACAAAAACCCCGCTACGTAGCAGTAAATAGGTACCTGGGTGTTAGTCAGCTGTCACGGGCTGCTTCCTGGGGGTGGAGGCCTGGTCGAGGACCGGGCCGCGGGGACACTAAAAATCCCCGAAATCATCTCAAGATAACCTCAAGATAACGTATAAGGCGAGAGAACGGGTCGCACACACAAACATACATAAGTATACAAGATAAACAAATATACGATGTATGAATCACAATTGATAGCCCGTGTTTAATGTTATTCATTTTACTGAACTATCCAACCCATTTTGTATTTACTTTTTACTTGTAAATGCCTATATAGACACGCAGACAAATACATACTCACTTAAATCCATAAACAGACACTCTAGCACACAGACACGAAGATACATAGACTCTAGATACAGATACATAGTCACAAGACACTCGTAGAGACACAGAGACCTTCCAATCACAAATCAGAAAGCTCTCACTTCGATGTGTTTTGCCATCAGGAAGAGAGCCCAACTCAAGGCGCTCAGCCTTCCCCCCTGTGAGGTCAAAGGTCACCTACAGCGTCTCGAAGAGGTCACTATCCCATACCAACAGCAGCAGGATGGTGATAGTCAAGATGGTGTCATTAAAGGTGGTAATGAAGAAGATGGTGAGCTTGAAGATGATGATGAGGGTGATGGTGATAATAACATTAATGGTAAAGACGTTGATGATGATGATAAATTTGATGGTGAAGACGATGATGGTGCTGAAGATAATGAGTTCCAACAGAGCAAGTCGTTAACTCTCTACACCACTGCTGAGCTCAGGAGAGAGAGAGAGAGAGAGGGTGTCTTCTGGGATAGGGAGGGAAGGGGGCAGCGAGATTGAATTGAAATTGAAATAAGTTTATTGAAGTAAAATACACACAAAGGGATGAGGGTAGCTCAAGCTATTCTCACCCCGTTCAGTACAACGTGTTAATACATACATAGACACACATCACACAAGCAATAAACGCATTACCGAACATTCTAAGAGATAAACATATACATTTCCTCCTTTACACGGCAGCGAGGAATACCCAGTCTCCTCTCCTGGGCAGGACCAGACAATCAGACCGAACAATCAGAATTCCCGCGCGCACTAGCGACGACACGGAGGGTCTGACGACACGTTAGCAGGTCTGGTGAGACGTCTCAACAGATGCTTCGAACTTGCCCCAGATTCTCTTTGGATTAGAGACGAACAACGATGCTAAACAAAGGCGGAAATATTATCCAGTTATGGTTGCTTTCGTCACTCATCAACTTATCCATGGGTCGTCAATGTCCACGGAACATCAACGCTATTTACTATTCATCAATGTCTTCATCTGCTTGGAGACCACAGTGTCTCTTGTCCGAAGAGTCACAAGGGACTCGTCTTGTATTGTACCACTAGGATCATTTTCTCGAACTGGTCCAAGAACTAGGCTGTTCAGGTGTGGAGTTAGCGATGCTCAGAGCAGGTTGATGACCATTGAGGATAAATACTGTTTGTAACCACTGCTGTTATATACAAATAACAATTGTTTCTAACTACTGCAGTTAGCTATTGCGGCTATATAACCGCTGATGTTAAGCATTGTTGATGCTAACTACTGGTAACTACAGGTAATAATATTTGATAAACGTGATGCTATTATGTTAATATTGTATTATTGTAAGCATTTCTGTCTCTCTCTGTCTCTCTCTCTCTCTCTCTCTGAAGAGCCCAGCGACTTCATACTTCAACTAAATGTACTTTATTTTCACCCTCACAAACACACACCAGCAGCATCTTCTCGCCTGTAATGAACGCTTACTCTCCTGTGCGTTTATTCCTCTGTTTGACGCGTTTTCTCTCTCTGTCCACTCAACCTTCCTAATTAACCTGAACTTTGCTGTGTCACGCCGCAGGTAAAAGTGAGGTCCTTACTGATGGAGTGGAACCGCGCCTCACAGAAGTCGCTGGCGCAGGAGGGAGAGATGGTGTCTATGGTGCCCCTCAGTGTCCCCATCAGCCAGCACCAGAAGCACACCACGCCCACGCCCTCACCCATAGTCTCCCGCATCTTCACCCGCCGCCCGCCGATGGATACCCACGAAGAGGAGAACGACGAATCGTCCGGGTACAGCTCCAGCCATGCCCACTCCTTCAGGAGTTTTCATGATCTCACGAACTCCGAGCGACCCCATAAGGACCCCGTGTGGGAGAATCACCACTCGTGCTAGTGGTCTCGAGACCTCAGGTGAACCACTGGGACCACCATTACCTCAGGGGGCCCCTCTGGGACCACCATTACGTCAGGTGGTTCCATTGATACTACTGCAGGAAATGTCACATTTGCTCCGTGAGCGAACGTGTTGATTGGGCCCCTTTGGAAGTTTCCAAAGCCACACTAGCGTTCATTTTCTTCATGAGGTCTCAAGGCCGCTGCTAGAAACACCATGACCTCGCCTCTGGTAACTGCCACTTGAAGCCTATGAAGCCTTTGTGACTACAGACTAGTTATCAGGCAATAGCTCCTCCCACTGCCACCCTCTCGGCGACAGTCTACTCCTTCGGCTATCATTGCAACAGCATTCCCGTTCTGGAGTCTCAGTAGTGTATCGACAGGTGTCTTCAGGTCTGGTCCTGATATCTGAGTACACATACTGAATACACATACCGGAATACACCCCGACGAGCAGACACATGAGGAAACTCAGTTTTGCTCAATGCAATCACATTAACTTGATGTATCAATGATAAAATCAGTACAGGGCGATTGTTTATGAGTACCAAGTGAACGGGGCTCGAATCCTCCTCATGGCTCCTACTGAAAAGACTCAGTTTCACTAGTTGCTCATCACCGGCTGGTTTTGAATCCGTCTTCCAGTTTCCAGGACACTAGTAGCAGCCTCGTCCAGGTTCTCCACATCGAAATGCCAACGACTGGAAGAGGCTCTCATCAGCGCAGCAGGAGAGCCTCGAACTAGCTTGGTCCCATGCTGAGATGATTTTAAAGCTCCATATCCTGAAGAGTTGGTTCTCTCGACAGGAAAATGATTTAATACAGCCGCCCACGGCAGCTGCCCAACCTGGTTACCCCCATCGATAGCAGGTCCGAGGTTTTTGGTTCAGTTTCCCCTTCAAGCGAGTTCGAGACGAGAGTTGTGTTGAGATGAACAGACACTGAAGCAAAGTCTTGAGTTGACTCTGAATACGTGCTTCACAGTGTGTTGTATATCACAGTATTTTACACCTGCTTATTCAGCCCGCTGTGTCCCTGGGTAGGGTAGACTGTAACGTATATTTAGAGCACAACTTACCGCTCTGTCATAGTTAATAAAGGAACGGGTCAACCAGCGAGACGAGTCTTCGCTTCGGACTGGTGCTTTGGAAGTGAGGATTGACAGGTCCGTCACCTCACGGCTCTAAGGCTGCTACAGGTAGCAGTTTCCTGTGTGGGGTTTCCCTTTGAAGCCCTCATGAACCTCGCCTCTAGGTTCTACTCCCGTCTGTGAACCCCAGGTGAGAAAATTCACTGAACTTTATCCCTAAATAGTGACCTTTATCCCTAAATGACCTTCAAGGCGGTGAACCTTATGACTTACAACTCTGAAACTGAACACCTGTATCACGGAATTTGACGACTATGTTCATAAGAAATTGATATGTGATAGTGAACATTTAATGACCGGGGCCGAATAGTGTATGCAATGGCAACGAACATCCCTTCATTTAATTTATGTAATTGCAAATGCCTTTTTATTTATCAGTGTTGCTATAAAACGAATCAATGACCCAAGACCATCTTCATGAACCTTCAGTCAATACTCTAGATGATCTTAAATTAACCTAACCTAACCTAACCTAACCTAACCTAACCTAACCTAACCTAACCTAACCTAACCTTCAGTCAATACTCTAGATGATCTTAAATTAACCTAACCTAACATAGACCTAATATTAAACAAACATGTAATGTAATATAATACATATATTTATTTGAAAATTTTGCCTTTTTTTTTTAAGTACATCGAACTCCAGACTTTTCACAGTATGTCTTTACTGCTCAGTGGTGAAAGGGAGGCTTTGGTTACTGCGAATCCTGGTTCGAGTCTCACCACTATCTTTGGCAAGTGTACCTATTACTATCTTAAACTAAGGGTACAAGTGTATGAAATTGAGATGAGATGAGTTTCAGACACAGGTGTCTGAAACTAGGACACAGGTGTCTAATACTAAAACATATGTGTCTGAAACTATGGTAAAAGTGTCTGAAACTGGACAGGTGTCTCATACTGAATCATGTGTCTGAAACTATGGTAAAAGTGTCTGAAACTATGGTAAAAGTGTCTGAAACTAGGACACAGGTGTCTAATACTAAAACATATGTGTCTGAAACTATGGTACAAGTGTCTGAAAGTATGGTAAAAGTGTCTGAAACTAGGACACAGGTGTCTAATACTAAAACATATGTGTCTGAAACTATGGTACAAGTGTCTGAAAGTATGGTACAAGTGTCTGAAATTATAACACAGGTTTCTGAAACTAGGGCACAGGAATCTTAAACTGAATGGCAGGTGCCTGAAAATGAAGCACATTTATCTGGGACCAAAGTACAGGTTTCTGAAACTGAAGCAGAGGTGTCTGAAACTTAAACACATATGTGTAATTTATTTAGATTGACAGTTTTCGGCCAATACGCCATAGATATCTGAAACCACGACGCATAAATTCGAAACTACAGCCCTGAAATGATACCACAGATATCTGAAACTGTCTCAGAGATATCTGAAAAATGTGCCACAGGTGTCTGAAACAACGAAAAAGTACTCTTAAACAGCGAAACAACCGTTAGAAACTTACACACAAATGCCTGAAACTTATACAAAAATACCTCAAACTACAACACAGATATCTGAAACTTCAACACGGATGTCTGAAACTTCAACACGGATGTCTGAAACTTCAACACGGATGTCTGAAACTACAACACGGATGTCTGAAACTACAACACAATTGTCTGAAACTACAACACAAATGCCTGAAACTACAACACAAATGCCTGAAACTACAACACAAATGTCTGAAACTATGGCACAGTTTTCTGAAAATATGGCAAAAAATATCAGAAACTACAGTACTGATAGAAAGAGAAACCTTGCCATAAAGGCCCGAAACAGAACAATGTAGACAGGACCAACTCTACCAATCATCGTAGTTGATCAACGATGTAGATCAACTACATAACGAGACAGTATTTAGATAACGAGACAGCATCAAAAGATAACGAAGCAGCTTCAAGAAGTAACTATTAAACAAACGGTTGAACGTGGGAGAGTTATAATGAAAGAAATATGCAAGATAAAAATAGATCCCCAAAAGAGGATTATCCTATATGTAAGTCACACTTAAAGTGACTATATAGGAGCACATACTGACAGGACGGACAAGCAAATCAGGCAGTTCTATGTGCTGGTTGATGGTTAATGTAAATATGATGTCCAAATCATCCCAAATGCTCAATTTTGTGTCCTCTTCGTCCAGTGAGATATATATATCTCATACATATATACACACACATCCAGCTTGAATATATTTCATGTATATGAAATATATGTATATTTGCAAGTGAACAATAGGGTGTCAACAATGATTCTAGCGAGAAATTTCTCTATTGTCATAAGATTATCAGCATACGACATACTGAATCAGCCATCATTGCAAACAGGAATTGGACAAGATGCAAATGGATCTATAAGGGAGGTGCTTCACCCTCACCTCATCCTTGGCTATATATCATGCAGCAAGACAATTTGTAATATTACGGGCTATTCATGCCCGTGCCACCTCTTGGGTGGCTTAATCTTCATCAATCAATCAATTTCCCAATTTCCTACTCTGCCACTGACAATGTTAACAAGAATCAGCGAAACCCATCGCCAGGCCAAATACAATTGTGCAAATGAAATTGGGTGAGTAAATTTTTCAACTTCAAGTGAAGACAAATGTAAGGGAAATAGAGAAGATTCGCGCTAGAATCATTGAATCTCACACTTTTGTCACGGGTATATGTCTGTATGTATATATTTGGCAGAGGATATATATATATATATATATATATATATATATATATATATATATATATATATATATATATATATATATATATATATGCAGTAGTCTAAATTATATATTTTATAAAAGTATATATGACAGATATTCAATATGCCGAACTATTCTTAGTGTATAGATATGTGATAGTGTTCATATGTGTAGTTTTATAGTGTGTTGTGTTCATGTAGGAAGATCAAGAGCACTGTACTTGTGATGTATGGTGTGCGTGCGTGCGTGCACGTGCGTGTGTGTGTGTGTGCGTGTGTGTGTGAGTAAAAGAGAGATTGTTTCAGACAATCAAACTACTCTCCTTTGGTGCTGAGTGAATCTTGAGATATAATAATTAAGTCATCTGTCTACAGCCAAACAGCTTCCTCACCAGTCATGTAACCTGTTAGTTATCAAGGCACTCAAATGCTTCCATTATCCCATTCAATCGTTACCGTTTAACTATTAATGAAACTAATAATACAATTCTTCGTTAATAGTTCAATCCGCAAATCTAAACGCGACGACGTTTCGGTCGGTGTAGGAGCTTTACCGAGTGGTGATAAGGCTCTAAATATGGACCGAAACGTCGCTACTTTCAGATACATCCATTGGGTAAAAAAAAACACAATGGCGTGATATATCGATGTGAAGGTCTGGCTAGATGCGAGGAGGATTCGAACCAATGTTCTATTAAATGCCAAAAGCGTCGTGCGTTGATCCAAGAGGTATTTAACCTTTTGACTCCCTTAGTGGACTCAGTACTCTTCTGCATGGTGGAATAGCTTTTGTCCTCTCGTGGCTGAGTGGGCTTTGGCACGAGTGTGGTATTCACTAGAATGCAGGAGGAAATCCCTACTGATTTTTGTAGGGATTTCCTACTGAATCCCTACTGATTCTTCAACTGATTTTATTATAATTATTATTATTATTATTATTATTATTAATTATTATTATTATTACTGTCGTTATTAGAGGTATTTATAATGTTAATATCGTTATCTGTTATCAATCTGTTCATTATGGTCTGAAGACCGAAGTACTATCACTGTTTCTAGAGTTGAATATTTCACAAGAAATAAATAAATAAATATATATATATATATATATATATATATATATATATATATATATATATATATATATGTATGTATATATGTATATATATATGTATATATATATCATGTATGTAAGTTAGGTTGTTCATCGTATGAATGAATGTATGACAAGTATATTTTTGTAATGTTGGTGATCATGAAGCTCATTATATTATATGTAACAAAACATAAACATTGTACACAAACACACACATATATAAATATATATATATATATATATATATATATATATATATATATATATATATATATATATATATATATATATATATATATATATATATATATATATATATATATATATATATATATATACGGAAAATAATATTATTAATAAAAATGTGAAACTTCTTGCTATGTGGTGAGTCTGTCTTCTCTCCTCTCGTTGCTTCTGAATCACTGAATTACTCATTTAATTACACTAAACAAAATAATAATAACAGCTACAAGGACCTTCTAAAAGTTCCATGTTACTTGGAGAGTATTTTAGAACACAAGAAATACCAATTAAGGAGGAGAATATGACGATACAGGAGAATGGATAATAATAGGACAATTAGGGGGGGGCTGTTGGACAATTCCAGGCGGGTCCTATTTAATCACCCCCCTCCCCTCTCTATTGGTCCTAACAAGGGGGTCATGGTTACACCCCCCCCCCTCCTCCTCCCCTCTCACCCTAGGTCCCAGGCAAACTGAAATTTATTAACCGCTTAAAAAGGGACAATTTTTTAATTTCAGGAGAAAACGTATTATTTAAACGTGATTAATGGTCATACGAGAGCTATACGTTAGTAAACTGTTGTGTATATTAACTTTATATACTCATGTATGTTAACTCTGAAACGCAGAGACACTCGTGCATTAACAAAAATAAATGTAGAAATATATAAGTAAATATATATATGTGTACATACAAAAGAATGGGGGTGGTAGTAGAAGATAATATTAGTGTTCAGTGAGAAACCACAAGGTCTCCTCTGAATACTTTTTATTTTCTTCTCCGAGGCTATGGGTCCCCACATTGGCACCAGAGGTGGTACCCTCACAAAAAAAATGTTCTATTTATGTATAAAATTACGTGTTAATTAATGGTAAAATTAGCAAGACAACCTGATTTCAATCAGTGTAATTAAAGAACATAAGGTAAGGATGGTCCTGATATAGATACACCTGGCCAATTAATGTACCTGACATTGTGTCCTTAATTAGAACACATAAATACGATAATGCTAAGTGTGAGTGTGTACTTGCCTAGTTGTGCTTGCGGGGGTTGAGCTCTGGCTCGTTGGTCCCGCCTCTCAACTTTCAATCAACAGGTGTACAGGTTCCTGAGCCTATTGGGCTCTATCATATCTACACTTGAAGCTGTGTATGGGGTCAGCCTCCACCACATCACTGCCTAATGCATTCCATTTGTCTACTACTCTGACACTGAAAAAATCTTTCTAACGTCTCTAAGGCTCGTTTGGGCACTCAATTTCTACCTGTGTCCTCTAGTGCGTGTGCCCCTTGTTTTAAATAGCCTGTCTTTATCTACCCTATCAATTCCTCTGAGAATCTTGTATGTGGTGATCATATCCCATGTAGTTTTATGCCCCTGATGTTATCCTCTTGATATGAGCTTCAGGGGACAGGTCTGGCGTGATATCAATCCCCAGGTTTTTCTCTCTCTCTGACTGCTGAAGTATTTCGTCTCCCAAATAATACCTTGTATCTGGTCTCCTGCTTCCTACCCCTGTTCTCATTACATTACATTTGCTTGGGTTAAACTCTAACAAACATTTGTTCGACCATTCCTGAAGCTTGTCCAGGTCTTCTTGAAGCCTCAAGCTGTCCTCCTCTGTCTTAATCCTTCTCATAATTTTGGTGTCGTCAGCAAACATTGAGAGGAATGAGTCTATACCCTCTGGGAGATAATTTACATATATCAGAAACAGGATTGGTCCGAGTATAGAGCCCTGTGGGATTCCACTGGTGACTTCACGCCAATCTGAGGTCTCACCCATCACTGTAACTCTGCTTCCTATGCTTAGGTACTCCCTTATCCACTGGAGCGCCCTACCAGTTACTCCTGCCTGTTTCTCCAGCTTATGCATCAGCCTTTTATAGGGTACTGTGTCAAAGGCTTTCCGACAATCCAAAAAAATGCAGTTCGTCCATCCTTCTCTTTCTTGCTTAATCTTTGTCACCTGATCGTAGAATTCTATTAAGCCTGTAAGGCAAGATTTACCCTCCCTGAACCCATGTTGATGGGTTGTCACGAAGTCTCTTCTCTCCAGATGTGTTACTAGGTTTTTTCTCACAATCTTCTCCATCAACACATGTGTTGATGGTTCCTGAGGTCCCTGAGCCTATTGGGCTCTATCATATCTACATTTGAAACTGTGTATGGAGTCAGCCTCCACCATATCACTTCCTAGAGCATTCCATTTATTAACTACTCTGACACTGTAAAAATTATTTCTAACGTCTCTGTGGCTCATCTGGGTACTAAGTTTCCACCTATGTCCCCTTGTTCGTGTCCCACCCGTGCTGAAGAGTTTGTCTTTGTCCACCCTGTCAATTCCCCTGAGAATTTTGTAGGTGGTTATCATGTCTCCCCTTACTCTTCTGCGGTGTGTGTAATTACCTAAGTGTAGTTACAAGATGAGAGCTACGCTCGTGGTGTCCCGTCTTCCCAGCACTCTTTGTCATATAACGCTTTGAAACTACTGACGGTCTTGGCCTCCACTACCTTCTCACCTAACTTGTTCTAACCGTCTACCACTCTGTTTGCGAAAGTGAATTTTCTTACATTTCTTCGGCATCTGTGTTTAGCTAGTTTAAATCTATGACCTCTTGTTTTTGAAGTTCCAGGTCTCAGGAAATCTTCCCTATCGATTTTATCAATTCCTGTTACTATTTTGTATGTAGTGATCATATCACCTCTTTTTCTTGCATCACCTCAGTGTGTGTGTGTGTGTGTGTGTGTGTGTTTCAGCGTGTGAATGGGTGGTGTGGGTGAGAGCCTTTGCGTGTGTGCGTGTGTGTGCCTTTATCGCACAGCGGGTGGGAGGACGGGAGATAAACACAGTATTCAGTTCCCGAGTGAGATCACGAGCCCGTTGAATGCCTCCTTCTCTAACAAGATTAACTAACAAGATTATTACTATTATTGAATGAGAATGTATTAGTGATTACGATACGATATTTTAATAAACCTTTCACACTGCTGTAGACGTCAGAGAGGCATTCATCACTCTTAAGTTTCACAGTGAATCTCCTCTCATTCAGCGATGTGTTGCCACTCTAAGTTGGTTTCTTTACTCCAGTTGTTCTATCGTTTGCGGGTTTCACCACGGCACGATGCAGCAGCCTGCTTGCTGCACACTGCGTGAGGCCAAATACTATGATCTAGATTCTATATCAATGCAAATGTCCCGACTATTTGACGTTTATTCGCGGACCCGACTGATACACGTGTGACTCCCCGCCGACGGCCTACGACTGTGTGTGTGTGTGTGTGTGTGTGTGTGTGTGTGTGTGTGTGTGTGTGTGTGTGTGTGTGTGTGTGTGTGTGTGTGTGTGTGTGTTATTACCTAAGTGTAGTTACGGGATGAGAGCTACGCTCGTGGTGTCCCGTCTTCCCAGCACGCTTTGTCATATAACGCTTGTGTGTGTGTGTGTATGTGTGTGTGTGTGTGTGTGTGTGTGTGTGTGTGTGTGTGTGTGTGTGTGTGTGTGTGTGTGTGTGTGTGTGTGTGAATGTTTAATCTCCCCTGTTCACCCTTCCCTCTCAAATATTAATCCCATACTCCTGTCTCTGAAATCCAAAGCTATCTGATATTGGACCCCTCCTTCCCCCCGCCCCCCGCTATTAAATCCCCCTCC